ACTTTCTCTTTCCAGGAAACCCGAATCACCAAAAGCCAGGTCAAGGCAAAGTGCCAATGAAGCAAAAGATGGTACACCTAAAAAGCCAAAGCAGTGTAACTGCAAACACTCTCGATGTTTGAAGTTGTAAGTATTTCCTCCTTTCATGCACAATATATGTAGAATCTCCTACCAATATTTATGGCTAATAAATGATGGTACACTGAACTAGCTCCCAGATTAGGAAGGCCATTACTTAGTAATGATTTAAACTGGACCTGATAGGCTTTGGGATATCTTTTTTTTTTGTCCCTTTCTCATATCGCACTCAATTAACTTGAGATAGTGACAACATAAAACCCCTCTAACTTTTCAGCATCCACTGCCTTTAGCCTATGGTGGGAGTATTTTTGCTGTTTCCGTTGCAACTATGACTTCTCTATCAGAAACAAGGTAGAGTTTTTCTTGTGTATTGTTATGTTTTGCTAACCACCTCTGAAGAGGCAAGCTCCAAGTAGGAAACTAATGAAAGAAGGAAAAGCTCCAAGTAGAGCAATAAAAAGAAGGAAAAGCTCCAAGTAGGAAAGCAATGAATGGAAGAAGGAAAAGCTATATATTAAATAAATACCTTTTGTTCAATATTTTAGAGAAGGCAAAGAAAGAAATGTATTCATCATTTATAGAAGAAAAAACCTGTTGTGCAGCCTGCAGGTAATCCAACAACAGAAGCAATAGGAATCTAGGTAGAAGTTCTTTCCTTAGAAAACATGATCACTGAGAGAGATTCTTCCAATTGGTCTAATGATTTAGTGTTGCTTGGCTTTCTAGGCTTATCTTGGACCTGAGTGCAGTTTATATTTTGCTATTGAAATCTTTTACATTAAAATATTGCTTTCCTTTTAAAGGGATATTTATTTGGAGGCTAAAGGCCCAAGGAGGCACTATGAGTTGGAAAACCGGTTCCACTAAATTGAGGCATGAGTGCAAGTATATAGAAGGGGAATAGGGGTTCACTTTAGTTTAAAATTTTGTGCAAAAGTATTATATATTTTCCCTGCATGTTGACGAATTTCTGTCCTTTGAAGTGGATTTATCATATTGACAAATACAACTATGTTTTTATAAGCTGATAACACAACGATTTCCTTTGTTGAGTCATAAATTGCACAATTCCCAACAAGAAGGGGATTGAGAATTGGAAAAGAAAGAGGAGAAATGAGGCTGTTTGTAGACATATCGTTTTTCCTTTTTGTGTCTTTAGCATGTTCAATCACTCGCTCAATCAAATCAATAATACCTTAATACCAAACAAAGTTGGGATCAACTATATGAATTCTCTACAATCATTCTCATCTGCAATTGTTTATAGCTTTCCACTCTATTCGTGTCCAAATAATTTAAACTTGTCCATACTTTTCACTTAAACACTTCATCTTAAGGTTGTTCCATCTGAACACTCCAACCACATCTCAAATGTGTCATTTAGACACAACTTAGTGATGTGGCATAGTGCGTGTATTGCATCATTTTTAAAGCGTGAGAGAATAATTTTTCCTTTTAATTTTTTTCTCTCTTTTTTCTTCTCCTATTCTTTCGCACACAGTCATCTATTTTCTTCGCACACCAGGTCACTACCTTCATATCCTTTCTTTCACAATGTTTTACTCCTCTTTTTTTCTTCTTTATTTGCTATTCTCACTCCATAAAATGAAGAAAAGCTGCTTGTTTCAAATTTATACAGAGAAGCATGAAGAAGCAATAGTAATTTCAAAATAGAAAGGGAAAACATAATAATGCATTTACTGAATAGTCCATGTTCGTTTCTTTACATTTGCAAACCTGGGACAAAATTAAACTTTGTGACTTGAATCTGAAGAAAAATAAGGTTTACATCTCAAAAAATTTCCGGCAAAGCTTCATCTTTTATAGCTGGAAGTTTTAGTTTCCACCGCACAGCTAAACCTAAAAATCTAGTATAATTAAAAATTGTTGTCAAGCAAAAAAAGAAGAAGAAGATCGATGTGAGTAGTTAAAGAAGCACACAACGTTAAAATGGTTGGCTCAGGCGAGAAGACAACCGTACTTGGCCATCGCTTTTCTTTTTTTCAAAAGTAAAATTTATTTAAGTTAATTCCACATATCCCCCTCTTATTCGTCACTCTGGCGTGTGAATTACATGCACTTTTTTTTTGTGTTTGACTACTTACAGATTTTGTGTCTAATTGACACATTTGAGATGTAGTTAAAGCGTTCAAATAGGACGGACTTAAGATAAAGTGTATAAGTGAAAAGTGTTGACAAGTTTAAGGGGCTATCAATGTATTTTACCTAATTTTAATACTATGTTGTTCATAAATAAATTGCCTATAGGTGCTAAACTAGAGCTCTAAATCTCACACTTATCCTACAATGACATACAAATATATAATCAAATTGAAAAGACTATTGATAAACATTAGACTGTAAAGCCCCGTAACTTCACTAGCATAATATGGATTAGTTTGAGCTTAAGGAAGTAGATTGGAGCTTAGAGGGAGTGTTGAATCTTCAGGGATTTACCCATGCGTAGGCCTTTTGCATAGGTTCCGCAGCCTTGCCTAGGAAAAAACAGAAGCTGCCAGTTGAGGGATTCACCCATGCGTAGGCCTTTTGCATAGGTTACGCAGCCTTGCGTAGGAAAAAACAGAAGCTGCCAGTTGAGGGAAGGAAAGGCTCTCGTCTTGTATAGGCACAGTGCATAGGCTAAGCAGCTTTGCGTAGGCCTTCTGTGTAGGCAACACAACCTTGCGTAGGATTTTTGCGTAGGCTACAGAGGGTGCGTAGGCAAAAACAAAATGGTCACCAAGTTAGGGGAAATGTTCTCGCCCTGCGTATGCATCATGCGCAACCTATGCAGGGAGGCTACGCAAGGCTCTAGATTGTTTTGGTCTTTTGAAGGTGATGTTCAAAGAGAGAAAAACATTTCATTTTGACTTGGTCTTTAATTTTAGAGAGAATGAAGAGCATCTCTCTCATAATACACCAAGGTAAGCATATATGGTGATAGTTATGGGTACCAAACGTCATTTTATGATATTCTAACAATATTTATGGATCGAATCCATTGGATTTTCCAAGATCTAGAGCTAGGGTTTTGAACCTAAAAGGTGAATATCTCTACCCATGTTCAAATACAAGTATAAGATGGATCTTTGGGGGTTAGTTTGAGTTGAGAAATATCATTTCGATGAGAAAGAAACCATAGTTCTTGAATGGGTCTTATGAACTAGGGTTTGCTATTAATAGTAAATTGGGTATAGTTTATTGTTGGAATAGGGGGATTAAATTCTTTTACCTATCGTGTGGTATAGTTAAGATTCTTACCAAGTGACTTGGGAACCAAGAGATAAGCTAGCTTCGGAATAGTTTAAGGTATGTTGGCTAACCCCTCCCATAGGATTATTTTTCCTAAAATTCTCATGTCTTATAAATGTGATTTCATAACTAAATAGTTTCAAATTGTTAGTGTATAATTCTGGGCGACAAGTAATTATATACTTTTCATGTTCTCCTTCCATGTTATAATCTCACATGCTATGTTTTACACGATGAAATTATAAATGTTTCAAGCCTACGAATGAAAATATTTTAATGATTAAAGTTTTCCATGAACATGAATATTTCGTTACGGTGTTTCAAATAATGAATGTAAATGGTGACGAAATGGAAAGAGAATGTTATGTAGCTATTGAGCCTAACCCTAAAATTAACGAATTTGGGCCAAAAGTGCCAAATGTAATGAACTATTTTGGGAGTCTTGTTATGTAACTGTGAAGGTGTAAGTTAAAGGCGCCTAATACCCGAAGCTACACTTACTGGTGTAGGACTATGGTCGTACCATTGGCTTGGATGACTAGATAGTCTCCTTTGGTTGGGGTTAATGAATTGCTAGAAACTAATGTCGATCTACATGACATTGCGGTGAGATGACTTAGCCGATCGGGCCGAGATCGGACTCCATGTTGTATACATGGTGGTTAAACGGAATATCGCTAACTAATGAACTCCCACCTAAGATAATAAGTTGTTAAAAATTCAAATTCTCAAATGTTTTATGAAATGAATTAATGTTTCTCTAAGTTGCATTTTATCTCTACATGTTTTCCTTTATATTTGTTTCTTATCCCATTTTATGTGATGAAGCTTCCGATGTATACGAGTACTATTCATCATGTACTTACATCCCTTTGGCCGGGAGCACAACATCTTTTTCATGGATGCAACTAGTACTACACTGGACGACGTGGAGCCTCGTTAGGCGACTCCCTCATCTTCCAGTCTTTGGTGAGCCCCGTTATATTTCGGGGCACCCATGTTACGAACATTTGGATCTCCTTTTGGTTATAGCCGATGCCTTGTCATCGACATCTCTTCTTATTCATATTGCCATAGAGGCTCCACGGACATAACGGGTTAAGTATGTTTTTGTCATTTCTATTGAGGTCTCATATGGCATGTATGAATAACTTTTTTCGTTATTTAATTTATTCAAGTTTATGGAAGAAAAATTGTTTTAAGAAAGGCTTTAAATGTTTCTAAAGCATGCATCAATTATGAAAGGTATGACATGAAAGGTTGGTTCGCTCGATCAAGTTAAGGTATCGGGAGCCTTGGCCATCTCCCAAGGTCGGGATGTGACATAGACATAATGTAAGTGTACAATAAGAACTAAACCTTAATGCCAACTAGTTGTTATTGCTAGTCTGGATACTTTGCTTCCATTATATTCTGTCCTTAGCTAAGCCTGCATGATTCCGAAAGGTTGTATGTATCTGAGAAAACTTCCTTCTATTTGATTCTAGGTTTATCTTGTCCCCTTTTAGCACCTTTAACCATCATAAGGTCGTGCCTGTAAACTAGTCAACAGGAATCTATGACATAGCCAAACCATTTTATGTAACCTTCTCTAATTTGTCCTCTATGTGTGCTGCTTGCATTCTCTATCTGGTATGCTTATTCTCAATACAAGAACTTAATAATTTCTACTGTGAGAAAGCACGGGAGAAAATATTATTGATATTATTCTCATATATTAAACATGATACAATGAGCCCTATATATATACATAACACGTCTTACTCCTAATACATATGGGATTAGGGTTATTTACTACTATTTACATAACTATTCTAACACTCCCCCTCAAGCTGGTGCATATAAATCATATGTACCGAGCTTGTTACATATGTAGTTAATACGAGGACCAGTGAGGGACTTGGGGAAAATACTGCAAGCTGATCATTCGACTTCATAAACTTTGTAGCAATATCTCCCAAGAGTATCTTTTCTCTGACAAAGTGACAGTCAATCTCATTGTGTTTAGTTCTCTCATGGAATACTGGATTTGACGCAATATGAAGAGCAGCTTGATTATCACACACAAGTCCCATCTGACTAATCTCACCAAATTCCAA